GAAAAAAAAGAGATCGATAATGTTAATAAGCAGATCGATCTAAAAAGTGACTACTAAAATAAGAAAATTTAATTGATGATATGTCACACAGGTTGTTACATCGTACCCATGGAATAAACTAGTTATTTAATGAATATCAGTAGACACGGTGTATTTCACAGAATAATAGTAAACCATGTGGCCTTCGGCCACGTGATTTTACTATTATTCTGTGAAATACACCGTATCCACTGATATCCATTAAATAACAAGAAAGTATTAAATGAGTTCTTTAAGTATTTATTAAAAATAGTTGCAATTTGTTTATATGCATTTTGTACTGATGGAGTTGAAAAAACTAAAAGTTTAACGCGAGGGTCTAAAATTGCTGAGGTAATTGAAAATTTGTCCATTACATCCTAGTATTCTAAAAGTTTTTGTAGTATTGATTCTGCTAATTCACTTTGTGTAAAATTATTATCCTTAATAAAACTTTCTAGGCATACTTGAATTCCTTCAAAAATAAACTGAGTATCACCTAAAGTTGGATAAGATGATGTGGAAAGATGGGTAGTGGCTTTTTTCAAGAGTTCAAGAACTAAAAGAGTCTCCTATTATAATAAAATAATTGGAGTATAAAATTTATACATTTTATGATGTCCTATGATAAATCACGAATTTAAAAAAAAAAAAATTTAATTTTATTGCAGCCCAATCATTCTTAGTAAGATAAAGGTCTTTAACAATTTGATTGTTAGCTACAAGCAAGGCCAAGGCGGGTTTAAGTTTGTATACACGTTCTAACATGTACAACATTAAGTTCTAGTGCGTGTTTATATCTATAACAGGTCTAAGGTTTGAAATTCCTTTCAAGTCACAAAAATGATAGAGTTCATGACAAAGAGATGCAGAATTTTTTATTTTAACTATCAACACCCAGGTTTTATTAATCAGGTCACTAACTACTTTAGCCCTTGTTTTGCATCTAAATTCAGGATATGTGTGGCACAATGGTAATGCGAAAAGGTCATTGAAGACAATATCGAATCAAGACTCTCAGCGATCTCCTCTCCACATACTACTATCGCTAATGTGTTGTTGTTGTAAGCACGATAATTTTATTATAAATATGGAATTCATATAAGGTATCTAAAATTGTTTGTGCAATATTAACACCTAAGCAAACATTAAAAAAAATAATTAGTAGTTGATGAAAAAATTAGGGAAAAAAAAGTATTGGTGAAAAAAAGATATTGGAAAAAAGAATAAAAAAAAGAAGGTTTGAAAAAAAAGGTATTGAAAAAAAGAAAAAACACCTGAATGGCTAATGTTAAACAGGATTATGTCGAGCAAAAAAATTTACAATTGCCAATTAGAATTGATATAGTGAATCGTGAAGCCAAGAAAAGCCCCCTGATTAATAGTTGAAGACCAGATATCAGCAGATAACAAATATTTTCCGGGAATATTGCTAAGTTCATTTGCGATTTTTGGTCGCTGGGTTTCAAATTCGTTAATGACCAAATCTTTTACTTGATGCTATTCAGGAATTATATAGCATAGACAAAAATGACTGATAAACAATTGAAAGTGATTATTGTTGACAACTGTAAATGGTTGGAGGTTACATATAATTCATTCCAAGAGATATATTGTATGTTCTCTTTGCGCCCATATGTCTAAGGGTTTTTTTACAATTTGTTGATTATATTTTACTGTAGGAACTTCCAAATTATGCTTTATCAAAAGGTAACCCCGCAATATTGATATACCACTTGTTAATTTGTATTTTTTAATAGGGTGGCAGTATTTACCAACATAGTGATTTGGTACAAATGAAGATCTTTTAAAAAAATATTTCTAGACAGGGCTTTCATTTGATGATATAGAATAGGTTGTTTCTGATTATTTATCACAAGATATTTGTTCATCAGAGAATGTCAATTCAGCAGTATTGTTAATATTAGGTTGATTTTCAGAGCTAGTTTCTGATTCTTCATTATGAGTGAAATTTGCGGCTTTCATTTTTCATATGAGACCAAACTACTGTTTTTGCATCTTATATTTATAATTTTAGAGGCAAGTTATTTTATTATTGTCTAATACTGTATTAATATATTAAATGTGAATCAGAAAATTTTATAGCAGTATATTTGTCTACTTTGATTTCATAAAAAACAAACTTTCTAATACACAATTACAAATTGTTTAGTGCTTGAAAATTTTACTTGAAATTCATATTTAATGCACTAACACGATTCAAGACAATTGTTTAATTTTTTTTTGTAGATAGACTTATATCAAACATAACCTAGACAGTTGAAGGAAGATATACGCATACAAAAGAGAACATTTAACAATAAATAATAATATAAATTTTTATTTATCTACTTTTAATGAAATTCTATGTTCTTTATACCATTGACTGTCTGTTTGTTTATATTTTCTTGTGCAAACTATTAAAATGTCACAGGTTACATAATTGATATCATTATAAATAAGAGATTAAAGTGTTGATAATATTTTAATTTCAATTATCTACACTGTTCTTTATGACCTTAATATGTTATTATCTATATTGCAACTATTTTGCCATTTGCAATATTTATCAATATTTATATAATATATCAAATGCTGAATTGGCTAGAGCGGCTTTCCAAGAGTCAATTATCACCATAGCAGACGAGGTGTTCTGAATGCTGTAGCAGTGATCAACCTGAACTTTAATACACATTAAGGTTTTTACTACTACCAATTTTATTAGAACCGATTTTGACAATATCAGTGCATTATATGAAATTTTTTTAAAATTAAGTATATACTATACAGTATATTAAAGATCAAATAACCAAGAACAAAAATGAGATAGTTTGTATGGATCTAATAATATATGCAAACCCGCATCAATCAAATTTAAATCAAACTTCCTATCTCTACAAAAGCAGTAGGTCTCAATGGTTTTCGTATTTAACTCGATATAACAATTACTAATACTGTAATACAGTAAAAGCTTTACTATATCAATTAATTTAAGAACCAAAGAAGAACCTTGTTATACATATGTTATATTGAGGTTATACTGTTTCAATATACAAACAATTACCATACACCTAGAATCTATTTAATAGACAATGGAGCAGACAATAGTAATTAACTCTATCCTTTTATGAGCAAATTTGTAATATAGTAGCCAGACCAAGGTGATTTTGTTTTAGTCAGAATTCACTAACTGTCACAACCCTCACTAACTATAATTAAGTCTACTGGTGAAACAAGACAACGCAACACTTACCCAAAATATGGATTTATAGTTTTTCATATTTTTTATTTTTTTTGAAGCAAAAGGTAAAAAAATCCTTTAACTTATTTTTCTTAAGATCCTTATATACAGAATTTTTTGATTCTAAATTAATTTCATCTACGATATTAGACTTTTTCTTAATTATATAATTTATTAGGTGTTATTTAACTATTCTGAATTACTTCAATATAATACGATATTTTGACCATATTAATTACATATTTTTTATGCGCCTTAACTGATTACAGCTATTCTCATAAATTTTGGAACATCTAGTAAAAAAAAATTGACCAAATGATTGTTTGCTGATTCGATAAGTTTTACATAATAATGTGCATATTTTACTAAATAACTATGATAATATATATTGATATTTTTGCGCTTCAGATAAGTTAAATATTCAGTTGCTATACTTATACAAGTTAGTATTTCAGATTTAACAGTAGTTACTTCAAACAAGCTACGCATTTTTAAAATATCATTATGGCGCATTTGTGGAATTAAGAAAATTAGGCAGATATAGTAGGAGGATGGGTTAAATGGTGGGAAGATGAGTTAGACGCTATGTTGCTATAAACTGGGGTAAAAAAAAATTTGGAATTTAGTTTTAAATAATAATTTAGTAATTGAATATTTGGATTGGGAACAAAATATAAAGTCAAATTAAATGACTTACTATAGGTAGTTAAACTTTTCCAGATTTTGGGGTAGTTTACAAATACTCCGTAATGTTTACTATAGTTGAACAAAACTAAAAGTTTCTTTATTGTTAGCGTTAAATCAACCATTTTAATATTTTCATCTGATTTATACTAATTTTCTTTTTAGTTTACATTTTAAAAATTCATTATGATTTATATTACATATAAATTTATAGTTGTTCAATGTACCCATACAATAACTATCTTATTGCACGGTGTCTGACATAACAATCTCATGCCAATAAGTAAAATAAAAAATCTCATAAGACCTATGCAATAATAAAATACTTTTATAGATTTTTGCTGTGATTTTATTGATAATTTCTAATACAGTTTAACAAATATTAAAAAATAGATTGTTTAGAATTATAACTCTAGCTATATTTTCTTTAGTTCAGTTAATATATTTTTGTTTATATCGAACTTTTTTTATTAGCACCTCTTCATGTAATATATCTATATGAAAGCTTATCTTTTATTCTGAACTCTTTTCACGTTATGTTTTTTTTTTTATGGTTAGCAAGACAATTTTTGTCATAAAGTTTTGTACAGAATAAACACACCAAACATACTGGACATGTATTTAGCCAAAATCAATTTTAGATATGTTGACAATTGCAAAAAATATATATCATTATCACTATATTAGCTATATTATTAATTACACCAAATCAAAAAAGTTTATCACTGCCAAATCAAAAACTTATTAAATCGGCCAAATAATCATTCAGTCAATTTTTTACCAGATGTTCTAAAATTTGTGAGAACAGCTGTAATTTATAACTTTTCTCGATTGACCATGATTCAACCAATAATGCATGTAATCATGAGATCATGATTTCCATACGTGAAACTTTCCAAACACAAGTACTTATTTATATATTTACATATTATTATTATTATTTTTTGTCTTTTTCATCCACCATTAATCCCTGCACAACATATCTTAAGTTCCAATTTTTGTCATGTAGCTGATCTTGACTTTGACACTTACCAAATGTGGATTTTGTCACTTTTATCATTATAGATGCAAACCTAAGCTATGGCTGAAATCAGCTCAATGACTCTTTGTCATATAATGTCACAACTTAAAGAAGATTCTGATATCTAACGCTAGATAATTTATAAATAAATAGAGATCAAATCGGATATATTTATGCTAGAATATTAGATGAGTAATGCTAATTATTATCTTACAGAAATC